GATTTAGGGTCGAAGTGTAGCACACGTGTACGGTACTCTCCGCAGGGATGTGCTAACAAATCTTGCGGGTTCATGAGCACCATGAGACTGATCGCCGACGAGTGAACAACAGGGACTCTGCGGTACATCGAAGTTTGGATTAGCAAGATAAGCTGGTGTCATCGACAGACGTTGCGGATCTATGTCAAGAAACTCACTGTGATATCATGGGTAATAAAACCATCTGGTAGTCCAACAGCGGCTGATGTTCGCTGCCACAATTGGGGACACACGGGATGGCATACCTTAAAACACCGATGCTCAGTAGGAGCCAGAATCTTTATGTCCCTCCGAACGCAAGGATCCCCGATCTTGTCCTTGGCAACCTCCCTGCATCCAAGCCGACATGTCGTAGAGGTAAGAAGATAGCAGGTGCGTGTCTAAAAATACAAGGGTTTAACGTGTCGATGAAGTCGGCGTGCGTTACAAACCGCGCTTGGATACATACACAAGGCTGAAAAGTAACAACGCCTCATTCCACTCTTCCTGACGAACGTCTAACATTTCATAAGACTCCCGCCCTAGTCGTACAGACAATCCGCAGCCATCTGTGATCAACTGGGACGACATCGCGTAAGTAAGCCAGAAGATGGCATGTAGCTATACGGTTACTACCATACACTGTCCGCCTGCAGGATTTGAGGCCGACACTAGAATGAGAGGGAAGCTTGTGAGGAGGCTAGTTGTGGAACCAAGACCCAGATTGGAATGGCGAGAATGACCTTGAGCTTTGGTGCACCCACCCTGATAACAACTTCTGCTTCGCTGGTAAAATTGGTTGTGCTCTCGTCCTCACAGAATGTGGCAAAGGCTTTGCTACAAACGCCAGGCGTAGTAAGACTTTTCTGCCCCCTACATAAAAATATTAGGCTTCTCACCATTTCCCTTCGAACATCTGCGAACTACTCTTTGCATCCTTCTGCAGGGATTGGCCTATTTGTCGCCAGATTGTTCTCCTAAATGTTCTACTTCAATTGTTGGTTGGTTGGTTGATAGCCAACCTTATATGCCATGTAAGCATATTGCATGTTCTGCGGTGCATTGCATGGTCTCAGCTTTGCCTCGACCTAGTACGAAATGGTGACGGGCAACCCCTAAAAAAAAAGAAAGGTGTCATGTGACAGGTTCATGACAGGCTGCCACGTATAACTATCCCATCCACATGGTTCCCTCCGCAACGTGGAAAAAGAGCAGTCTCTGCGACCTGTCACAGGTGTCAGAAACCGAATGACCGTGTACATCCCATAGTACCGCTATAGGGTACTCACGTAGCACGTACAGTGCTAGTTTTTGTAACCCATAAAACAAACACAAGCATGAACTTTGCATGATTAGCACACCCAATTCTAAAACGGATAATCCTATAAGTGTGAGATGAGTGCCCTATCAATAAGGGCTCATTAGCACCCGTATAACAATGGCATTTAAATACAAAACAAATGTTGTACATTTCAACAAAGTGATCTGCTCCCGCCTGCAGAGAAGAGCATGAAAAACATATCAAACCTCTACGAAATGAGATGAATTTCATAGGGGAGTCTGGAATATGTTTCGTGAGAGTCCCCTATAAAAATCAGCTCATTTGCCTAAGGAGAAGTGGGTGATTTCAATTGCAACCTGATTCAAGGCAATTCTGCAGACTGCTGCACAACAAGGCTTAAAAACCATATCAAACCTTGGGAAAATGAGATGAATTTCATGTCGAGGTCTGGAATATGTGTGGTGAGAGTCCCCTATAAAAATCAGCTCATTTGCCCAAGGAGAAGTGGGTGATTTCAATTGCAATCTGATTCAAGGCAATTCTGTTCAGAATTCTGCAGACTGCTGCACAACAAGGCTTAAAAACCATATAAAACCTTGAGCAAATGACGTGAACTTCAGAGGGGAGTCTGGGGTATGTGTGATGAGTGTCCCCTATAAAAATCAGCTCATTTTCTCAAGGATGAGTGGGTCAGTTCAATTGCAACCTGATTCCAGGAAATTCTGCACTGAATTCTGCAGACTGCTGCACAACAAGGCTTAAACACCATAACAAACCTTGGGAAAATGAGGTGAATTTCAGGGGGGAGTCTGGAATATATGTTTTGAGAGTCCCCTATAAAAATCAGCTCATTTTCTCAAGGAGAAGTGGGTGATTTCAATTGCAACCTGACTCCAGGAAATTCTGCACAGAATTCTGCAGACTGCTGCACAACAAGGCTTAAAAACCATATCAAACATTAGGCAAATGAAGCAAATTTCAGAGGGGAGTCTGGAATATGTGTGTTGAGAGTCCCGTATAAAATTCAGCTCATTTTCCCAAGGATAAGTGGGTGATTTCAGTTGCAACCTGATTCCAGGCAATTCTGCACAGAATTCTGCAGACTGCTGCACAACAAGGCTTAAAAACCTGATCAAACCTTAGGCAAATGAGGTCAAATTCAGAGGGGAGTCTAGGATATGTGGGATGAGTGTCACCTATGAAAATCAGATCATTTTCCCAGGCAAAGTGGTTGATTTCACAAGCAACATGGTTCCAGGCATTTTTGCTCAGAATTCTGCACCCGCCTACAGAATATAATATGAAAAGCATGGCAAACCTTGATGAAATGAAGTGAAGACTGGATGGGGATCAGGACTAGGTGTGATGACAGTGCCCTATCAAAATGGGCTCATTTTCCCAAGGAGAAGTGGGTGATTTCACCTGACACATCACACCAAGCAACTCAGCACTAACTTCCTTGCAAGAAAAAGTCCACCAAATCAGTTTGCATAGAGTTGAAAATGTTCAGGGGGGCTGGAACAGGTGTCATAACACTAACAATGCAAAAAAATATGGTCACCACATAACACATGTGTGTGATGCCCAGAGAATGACTTTACATGTGCTATGAGCAACCCTAGTTGACCAAAAACTGACAAAATGTAACAAATTTGACAAAATAACAAACTCATGCCCGCTGGTAGAGGACATCAAGGAGATGTTGGAAATCTATATTTGTGTGCAAATGACCAACAAATTATGGAGTTATGAGCCAAACCATGTAGAATTTTGACTTAGCCATTTTGACATTCTGCTTGTCAGAATTACACTTAAGTGTCAACAACAAAGTTTATATACAAATACTGTAGAACAGTGGTTGCGACGTCGCTTTCGTGCGACTGTTGATAATCCAAACCGGTAGTGTAACCAATCTTGCGCCCATTTCGTTGCGCCATGGTGGTTTGGATTTTGTAAGGTCCAACACCCTTTTGCGCCGAATCCGAGTCAAATCCGTCTCGCCACGGGCAAAATGGAGTTTCGCAAAAAAAAATGAATCCCGGTCGAAGCAGAGGATCCGAGTGCTGCTTCCGCCTTTGGCCCGCCCTTCCCCCGTCAGGTGGTTTGGATTTATAGGAATTCGCGCCAGGCAGGCCAGGGTGGCCGGCACCAGGTTGGGACCTTGCCTGCCGGTCCAGAGTCCTATACTATTCTAGGCTTACCTGCGGGGCGCCCACAGAAGCATAGCATGGTCTCTCGTTTTCCCTATCGGGTCTAGTAGGGCGTACTACAAAGGGGTAGCACACGGCACATCCAACTCGTACTGGATGACGTTGTTCGAACTGTGAATGGAAGATATCGTACGAATGCTGCCCCTGGTCTGTTTTGTGTCCTCCCAGAAACCAAGCTCGAAAACGAAGTCCGTTTCGCGAGGGTCCACGACAGTGTCATGTTTGTCGCCTCTTGTGCTTCGTCACATTTCGCCGCCATCAGAATGATCGAGTTCGAACTTGAAGTGTGGCCACCTGGTTCGAGTTTAGGCCGTTTTCGCCGATGTGCCGCGTCCTTAGCAAGCAGGAGCTTGTGTTTTCTTGACTTCGCAATTTGATCCAGCCAGTGGGGGTTTCTTTCCTGCCCGCGGGCAGTTGACGGCCGGACATCGCACTGTCGCCCTGGGAGCATTGGCCGGCTAATCCCCTGATACACACGGCAGAACATCATGGTTCTGAAATTCTCCGAGCTCCAGTCTGCGCTCGTCAATGGTTCAGGTAGTTTTAGTTCAAGTTGCAGATGCAGCCCGTCACTCAAGGTGCCCAAGATGGACCCGACCCGACCCAACGATTACGGCCAGGTTGAACCTGGTTGCTCTGCCTGGGCCTTGCTGCGCGCCCTGCGCGGACATAACAGCAGGCAGGCAAGCCCTTTCCATCGCTTCAGAAGAACACGGCACGGACCGCGGTCCCGCGGATGCAACGAGGTGGTAGTGAGCCTCCGGCGCGCAGGAAGTGGGTTTCATTTTATGTGCGGGTTGGGGGAGAAGAGACTTCCCCCGAGGGGGAGGATGAACTGGGACTGCACACCCTCTGCGCCAATTTCCGATATTTTCCGCGTCAACCTCCGATAATTGCCGTCCGCCAGCTCCGGAACTCGCGGATGTCTGCTCCGCGGCCTTCCCTCCCCAGTTGTTGCGGCAGCGGGGGTTTCGCAGCATCACTGGCGGCACCAGCCGTGCGCGTAGCGATGACGAACTATATAAACCCACTCGTCCCCCCGTCCATACGTCCAGTTTTTGAACGCACACTCCGCATTCTTTCACTGCACACGTCCCTACCTTCCCCACCACTTGAAGCCGGTGCGTCCGAGTGCTGGGTCAGTGCTTCTTTCCGAGTCGGAAAGGCGGCTCCTGAACGTGGCCCCACGCAGCCTCTTCAACCCTCAAAACCTCGCAGTGCGTTGCGCGCCGAGTCGAGGAGCTAGATCCAGCGCGTCTCAAGCTCAACATCTCGTTGCGCGCCGTCCGTCGTCGCCATGGCTCGCTCGCTCTCCGCCATCGCGCTCGTCGCCACTGGCCTGCTCGTCCTGCTCGGTACGCCCCACCCAATTTTTTTCATGCTCATTTGTTCCATGGCGTGTTTCGTTCTGTCTTCTACTCGTCGTCTTTTCTTTCGCAAAAAAATCGGAACCCTATTTCGGTTGGGTTTTTTTCCGGTTTGCGAACGGTATGCGCAATCGATTCGGTAAACGGTACCGTTCAGCCTAGTGAATAGTAGCAATTGTGTGCTGTTAATGTTTACATCGGAAATTTTGACTTCATGTTTGACAGTTGTGAAAGTATTTTGTTTCCAAACGCAATCGTATTTTGACGCCATTGAGTACTTGTTTGTTCCTTATCTCTTGTTTCTCTCCAAGGAGTCCTTTCTCCCACGTTCTCACAATTCGCATTGCATCAGCGTCTCTCCTCCCTCCCTGCCCGTATTTTCCCTCCCCCCTGCCTCTCCTTCCCCTCCCCTCCCCCCCTGCCTCGCCGTGCACGGTGTCCGATCGTCGGGTGCTCCTCAGCCGCAACCCACGTGGAGGTACGCGTCTCTCTTTTCCCGCCCTCGCCTCATCAATCTTTGACCTGCTACCGCTTGCTGCGCTTTTTTGACCTCTCCGTTCTCTCACTCTCCCTGCTTCACAAGCTCTCCCTGCCTCGCTCTCCCTACCTCGCTCTCCCTGCCTTTCCTGGCCTCCCTGCTTCTCCTGCTCCCTTCTCCTGCTCTTCCTGCCCTTACTCTGTATTTGCGTGCTAATTTTCAGAACCGCGTTTGTCTTCCTGCCATTCTCCTCCTCAATCCCACTCCATTTCATCCCACTCCTTCCCACTCCTCTTCCCACTCCCTCCACTCACCCCTGCACCCCACGCGCGCAGGCGCGGGACATAGTGGTGGGGGGCAAGAACGGCTGGACGTACCAGCTGAACAACTGGAAGCCCAACCCGCCCGCGCGCGTAGGCGACGTGCTTGGTGCGTGCCCCTCACAGGCGCCGTCGTTCCTAACACCTCCCTTGCTCACGGTCCTCTGCTCTCGCTCGTGAATGCAATCCCCCGCAGACTATACAAAGGGGTTTGTCTAATCTCTAAAACAATTGCCGGTGGTAGCTGTGCAGTGCTTGCAGAAACTACGATGAGTGAGTCGCTGATAAAGTGCCTGCCAGGTCCCCGTGCCTCGTGCTTACACAACACCATCCTCACTGAGAGCTGGCCTTTGGTCGCCATCCTCACTGAGAGCTGGCCTTTGGTCGCCATCCTCACTGAGAGCTGGCCTTTGGTCGCCATCCTCACTGAGAGCTGGCCTTTGGTCGCCATCCTCACTGAGAGCTGGCCTTTGGTCGCCATCCTCACTGAGAGCTGGCCTTTGGTCGCCATCCTCACTGAGAGCTGGCCTTTGGTCGCCATCCTTACTGAGAGCTGGCCTTTGGTCGCCATCCTTACTGAGAGCTGGCCTTTGGTCGCCATCCTTACTGAGAGCTGGCCTTTGGTCACCCGTATCCCGCGTTGTCCCGTCCCGTGCGTCCTATGGCAGTGTTCAAGTGGGTTGGCAAGCACGACGTGTGGCAGATGAACACTCCCTTGGCGTACCGGACCTGCAACTTCCGGCCCGGCGCGGCTAAGAAGCTGACGGGGCAGGTCACTGGCGGCAAGTACAGGTGAGCAGCACCGAACAGCGCAGCACAGCAGAGCAGAGCAAAGCACAGCACAGCACGCATCTGGCATGAGCAGTTGACCCCAAGGGCATGTGTGGTACAAAGGTTTAAGGGGAATCCTTTGGAAGCTGGGCCTTTGCTGCTGCCACTAGAAACCAGGGAAAAGAGCTCTTGCTGTTCTGACGGGCGTGCTTTCCACAGTGCAAGACCGTCTTGTCCCGAGCATCATTTCTGAATTTCGTTTATCGTGTTGCCCCTACCTGTCTGACTGGTATTCATCTCCCTTTCAGGTTTGTGGTGCCGGCCACAGCTAAGGGCAAGACCCTGTACTTCGGGTGTTCCGTGGTGTACCATTGCGAGGGCATGATGAAAGTGGCGATTCCGGTTCAGGCTTGAGCCCAGCAGCATGCACTCATCTGTGCCTCCTTGCCGCCTTAGGGTGTTCCTGCCATCAGGGGCGTGCTTGTGTGACAGCACTGCTTGTCAAGGGAGATAGTGTATGATTGTATTGTTGGATAGCCTGTAGTGAGTTGCATGCTAGGGGGTAGAGGGAATCACCCGACACTCCTTGTACCCCTCCCCTTTGACCTAATGCACCATTCTGCTACGTATCTGGTATCATGAGGTTACCCCCTAAACCTCTTAGTCCAAGTTAATTAACATTATTGTCCTTCTCGTCGCCTTCCTCGTAGCCCATACACTAACGCGCCCCGAGAGCACCCCGTTACGCGGCTCCTGTTAGTTGCGGTCCGTAAGGCCCTTTACATGCTCCTCCTATCAAGCCTAAGGCCCCGTCGTCCGCTCCCCATTCTGTCACGCTACGGCAGGCCGCCGTGGCCTGTTTTTCCCCATACGCTTAGGCAGGCCGTCGCATTTCTCTGCCCATACATTAGCGTGCGCAGCAGCAGCAGTAGTGCGCCACTGCACGCCACGCACACCCCCGTGGGCCCCGTTTAGCCGCGATTTAAGGTCCCCGCAGGCCCCGTTTAGTGGCGTTTAACAGGCCTCCGCGGGCCCCGTTTAGTCACGCTCAGGAAGGCCTTTGCTGGCCTGTTCTGTCGCATCCTACCAGCGGCCAGCAGCAGCTCCAGCCGCCCACAGCCCCTCCCAGCCCCCAACAGCCCCTCCCAACCGCCCACAGCCCCTCCTAGCCAGCCACAACCCCTTGTCACGATAGCGTCTTAGTTAGGAAACCGGTTTAACTTAGGGCCTAGGCTTAGTAGCCTAGGCCAAGCGGGTGTCAAGTTGGTTGTTCAAGGGAGATTCGAGAAATGAGGGGCTTCACTAAAGGTTTGCAAGAACATACAGCAAAGAAACAAAGAAGGTGCACCACCACCAAACAAATAATGAAAGAACTACACTACAATATTACCGCAAGCAAGCTATATATTAAATATAACTTTAACACACCCCCTTAGCCTGCTTGCATTAATAACAGGTGCAGTCAACACCCCCTGAACGGGTACACCTGGCGCAGTGGAAGACGGCAGAGAGCTAAATGAGGAGGAGGCGAAAGGAAGAGAAGGAGAGGAGAGGATGTTAGAATCTAGAAGCAGGGATGAATGACTAGATCAGGGTTTGGTACAAATATGAAACCCTAATGGTATTGGCTACCCCACTACAGCCTACACATATATCATATTCATATAATTTGACACACCCCCGTAGGCATAGTGGGGGAGAGCAAGGGGTCACAAGACCAGTCAAGAGAAGCAAAGCAAGCTCAGGGTGGATCACAACGTCACCACACACACTAAGCACAAGCAAACCAAATTGGTATGGTTTTCAGACCTTGATTTTGGGTTTCACATCAGGGCTCTCGTTATCAGACCGAATTGGTATGATTTTCAGATTTTCAGAAGTTGATTTTGGGTTTCATCTGATTTTCAAGACGAGGATTTTCACTTCGTCTGATTCGTAAGATTACGAAATTTAGTTCATCTGTTTTTTCAGAGCAAGCCTAATACTAAGTCTGAAGTTTCAGATAGCGGGTTGCAATTCGTCTGATACCGAACCCCCTCCCCTCTCCCCCCCCCCCCCCCCCCCCCCCCCCCCCTCCCCGATCCCTCGCTTCTCTAAGCTCCCTTTCGATGCCCTCGCTCCTCTTCTAGGCCTAGTCCAGACCTTCTCCCCGTTCCCCCCAGCCTTAGGTCCCCTCCCCATGTCCCCTCCCCATGCCCCTCGTGAAGTCTCGCAACAGCCCAACCCCCCCCCCCTTTCTTCTTGCGTCCCTCCACCCAACCTGATCCCTCGCAACACTTCAATGCCACGTGCAAGCCTCTCAACAGCCACACGCCTGTCAGCTAGCTAGCTGTCAGCGCCGCGTGAGGGGCACTTTCATTAACAAAAACAAGTGTGATTATGCTAGACAAGGGTGTTAGCTGAATCAGACTATGCAAATAAAATAGTATGAAAAATCAGACTAAGGCCCGCGCGCCACCCCTACAGCCTCGTAAGGCCTGTGCGCCGCCCCTGCAGGCCCGTCAGGCCCGTTAGCCGCCCCTGCAGGCCCGTCAGGCCAGAGCGCCGCCCTTGCAGGCCCGTCAGGCCAGAGCGCCGCCCCTACAGGCTCGTCAGGTTAAGAGCGCTGCCCCTGCAGGCTCGTTAGGCCGCCAGCCGTCCCTGCAGGCCCGTCAGGCCCGCTACCCGCCCTTGCAAGCCAGTCAGGCCCGCGAGCCTCCCCTGCAGGCCAGTCAGGCCGAGTCGCCGCCCCGCGCGTCGCGCCCGCTGCCCGCGCGTCGCGCTGCAGGCCCGCGCGTCGCGTCTGCTGCCCGCGCGTCGCGCTGCAACCCCGCGCGTCGCGTTCGGTGCCCGCGCTTCGCGCTGCAGCCCCGCGCGCCGCGTTCGCTGCCCGCGCGTCGCACTGCAGCTCCGCGCGTCGCACTGCAGCCCTGCGCGCCGCGCCCGCAGCTCGCGCAGCGCGCTGCAGCCTCGCGCGCCGCGGCTGTACCTGTTCCTCGCGGCTGCCCCTGGACGCCGCTCTGCAGCAGCTGCCACCGTCGCTCCTGCAGCAGCTGCCACGGAGCGCCCTGCCACAGTCGCGGCCCTACCCAGCAGCAACTGCCGCGGAGCCTCCTGTCGCGGTCGCGGCCCTGCCCTACAGCAGCTGCCGTGGAGCCTCCTGCCGCGTTCGCGGCCCCGCCCTGCAGCAGCTGCCGCGGAGCCTTCTGCCGCTGTTGCGGCCTCACCCTGCAGCTTGTAAAGAAACGAGGAGCAGGCATAGAGCACAAGTTCACAATAGCGAGAAAAGCTAGAGTTAATCACAGTGGGCAAGTGAGGAGGAGGAGAAACTGTGGAGGGAGAGAAGATGGGAGGCAACGACTGAAGCTGCAGAGGCACGGGCACAGGAGCGGCTGACTCAGTGGCTACCGAAGCAAGGGCGACGGACTACTGGAGTAACTGGCTCCGCGGCTATAGACGAGCGGCAGGAGCAACGGACCCACTCGCGACTGGTGCAACACGCTCACTAGCTACCGAAGCAAGGGCGACGGACTACAGGCGCTGCAAGCGACACGACAGCTACCTTCACACAACCTCCTCCAGCTGCCCCACACCCTCGACACACACCCCCTGCTCAAACCCTTGTTCCACTCCCACAGCACCCCCCTTTCACACACCCCTTGGTGCACCCTAGGTTCACTCACACCCCACCCCCTAGCACCACTCTGTCGACTCCCACACACCCACCCCCTTCAGCGGCAGCTGCAGCAGTGGGAGACAGAGGAGGAGGAGGAGCAGGGGAGACCACACACCCGCCACCCCCTACTCGTCACCCCCAGACCCTAACACAAGGCAGGGCGGGACGGCGGGTAGGGAGGTTACGGGGGGGGGGGGGGGCGACGCGCGGCCTCCTAGGGCGCCAAAAGAGGCGGCAGAAGGGGCGACGCTCGCCCCCCCCCCCCTGGGTCGCGGCCCCCTCAGGTCGCCTCGACAGGCGACGGGAAAATAGGGGGGGGGGGGGGGGCGGTGCACGGGCCCCTGGTGCGCCACGACAGGCAACAGAGCATGGCTGGGGCGGGGTCGGGGCAGAGTCGAGGCAGGGCCGAAAGGGGCGGCAACGGGGCCGCAAATGGCAGCGACGGGGCCGCTGGAGGCGGCGACGGGCCGATAGGGGCGGCGACGGGGCCGCGAAGGGGCCGCGAGGGGCATGGAAGGGCGGCGACGGGCCGCTAGGGGCGGCGACGGGGCCGCGAGGGGCCTGAAAGGTCGGCGACGGGGCCGCTAGGGGCGGCGACGAGGCCGCAAAGGGGCCGCGAGGGGCCTAGAAGGGCGGCAACGGGGCTGCTAGGGGCGGCGACGGGGCCGCGAAGGGGCCTCGAGGGGCCGAGAAGGGCGGCAACGGGGCCGCTAAGGGCGGCGCGAGGGGCCGTGAGAGGGGCCTCTAGGAGGGGAAGAAAAAAAAAAGTCCGTCGCACGCCACGGGGCGTGCAACACACAGAGTAGCAGCGGAAGCAGTTAGGTGGGCCCACAGGCAAGGAGCGTAGATGCTCAAATAGCATGTAAAGAAACGAGGAATGAAGAAGAGGGGGTTGCACTAGCAGCAGTTGGCATACATATAGGAAACCCTAATTGGGTTGTACTCGCTATAGAGTACCTTACTGCAGGCTAGACAATTATAACATTCTGACACAGCTGTCACGCCCCGCCCTGCAGGAGCTGTCGCAGACCTGCCCTACCGCCGACGCGGCCCTGCTCTGCCACAGCTGTAGCGGCCCCGCCGTCGCCGCCGTCGTACGCATGCCCTTCCCGCCACTGGTGAGCACCTACCTTGTTCGTGCGCTGCCGCCTGCCTGCGTGCCTGCCTCCCTGCCTGCCGGCCTGCCTGCCTGCCGCGCCTGCCCTGCACGCGCTGCTGCTGCTACTACTGCTCATGCTACTGCTACGACTACTTCTGCTACTGACGGTGGCCAGATGCAGCTCCAGCGACGTCCGCGTGAGTCCCTCACGCCCCAGCAGCTTAGTGAGTGGTACGCTAGTTGGGGTTGTAGGGGTAACCGCGCTGCTACTGCTGCTACTGCTGCTACTGCTGTTACTGCTGCTACTACTGCTACTACTGCTACTACTGCTACTGGCGGTGGCCAGATGTAGCTCTAGCGACGTCCGCGCGAGTCTCGCACGCCCCAGCAGCTTAGTGAGTGGTACGCTAGTTGGGGTTGTCGCGGTAGCCGTCGTAGCTGTCGCCCTGGAGCTGGTCAGTTGGGAGAGTCTGGCAGTGGCCAGCTGCAGCTTCAGCGGCGTCCACGCGAGACACTTACGTCTCGGCAGCTTCACGAGTGGTACGCTCAGAGTAGAGGGTCTCTGAGTACCGTTTGCTGCCCATACGTCATTCGCACTGGTGCTCGAACTGGTCAGGCTTGCGGGACCCTCAGTCACACACAGTCCCGTTGCTTCGCCCG